TGTGTGTGTGTGTGTGTGTGTCTGTGTACATCTGCTGAGTCACATCAGGATGTTTTGTGTTATTTTCGCTTTAGTCGTCTTTATTTTCGGCGCCTGTGTTGTTGACAGTTCAAAGTCGTTCAGTGACTGAATATAAAAAGTTTCACCTCCATCCTTTCTTCTTCAGGATGTTTCCCAGAGTCGTCTCCGCCCTGAGACACATGAGACACATGAGACACATGAGACACATGAGACAAGAGAAAAGACGACGCCTCTGACACTGATGATTGATTCATTCACACGAAGTCACAACGAGGACGAACAGTTTGAGACGAAACAAAAACAAAATGACGTTTATATGAAAACAAATTATTTTCACAACACAAACAACCATCGTCTTCTGTTTGTCCGGGCTCAGGTCACAGAGGTAGCCGGTCCAGGGTATTTCAGATGTCCTTCTCCCCAGCTGCACATCTAGAGGTGTCCCCTGTAGCATGATGGGATACCTAGTCCCTCCAGCCAGTTCTCAATCTACCCTGGGGCCTCCTCCCGGTTGGGCATGCCCAGTAAACCTCCAGAGGAAGGGTTCGATTTCAGACTCCGCTGCCACTCTGCCTCGATCAATCATTCTGTATGATTTCCAAGCATGGTCTCAAAAGCTTCAAACCACTGCTGACAGATTAATGAGGGCAGACAAAGGTCACTGTACGTTTGAATTCTTTGATTTATCTGCTGCCTTCGACACAGTTTATCTGAGTTCTCTTCATACTTCTGACAGGTTGCTTCAAGTCCATATCAATTTGTGTCCTCCTCAACCACCGGGCAGGTTTTAGCCTCTTTGCACTGGCTTCCAGTAAGTTTTAGAATTGAGTTAAAGGAACTTTCAATTACCTATCAGACACAACATGGTCTCGTATCCCTGCATAACCCTGTTGGCACTTTGAGATGCTCGGGCAGGGGTCAACACTCTGTCCCAAACTCTGGGCTGAGGACTAAGGGGACGCAGTCTTGAGATAACTGCTGGAGGAAACAGGCGGAGTCAGGGGCCACTTTTGAATCTGTGCTGTTGATCGCAGTGCTTTCCCAGATTTGACCAGAGTTCAGTTTTATTCTTTTATTCTTTGTACTGTTCTTACTTATATTTATAGTCTCTTATCTTTGTGTTGTATCTGATTGCCTTGTGAAGCACTTTGTCACCATGTCTAGATAAACAAACGAAAAAATGTAACGTAAATGTGAAATGTAATGTTCCTAGTGCTGTTTAAATCATTTGGTTGTAGTGATCAGGTCGTCCCCTTACAGTGATCATTTTGTGTCTGTTCATGTGTAAAATAGTTTTTACAGTCTCTGTCAGTAATTCACTCTTCCTCCCTGAGTCTCCATCATTCATCACATCCGTCTCTCACCTTGTCCAGCAGGTGGTTGGCCTTCTCTCCAGGAAGTAGGCGGAGTCCGGCTGTGGCCTTCAGGACCAGGGGGGTGACGGTCCAGAGAGATTGGGGGACACTGGACTTGGCAATGTCCAACAGCTCCGTGATCCCTGAAGTGCACTGTGCACGAGGAGGAGGTGGAGAGCATGAGACACCACTGAGGCTGAGTATCAGTGATATTAAATAAGGAAGAAAACTAAATAACATGAAATCCTGGATGCCATGAACGCAGCACACACCTTCTCTGGATCGTCAGCGTACGCAGACAGGCCGGGTTTGATGGCTTTGAACAGCTCGTGGGCCAACGACCGAATTTCTGCAGATACATCACACACATCAAATATAATAACATAATAATAACATATCAAATCATGTGAGGAGAAGAAACTGAAGATTCTTGTTTTAAAAAATGTAAACATGTATTTATTGTTCATGGAACAGATTTAACTTTCATAATAAACACACGTGTTCAAGTCTCTACCTCCGTTTTCCATCTGAAACTTGAAGACATGGAGTCTTGTCCCTGTGCTCCCGGCGTCGAACATGATTCCATACCGGAAGTTGGGTCCAGCATCAGAGGCCGACAATGCGTCTCCGATCTGGTCCAAGGTGGACGGGTGGTGAGGAGGTAGTCTGAAGGCCTCAGACTCGGAGAAGTTGTGGTGACGCTTGACGAACATGAGGTAGACGAGCAGGCAGCCGATGAAGAGGAAAACTCCAGCAAGCTTTGATCTCTTCATCACAACTCATTCTGTGTGGACCTGGAAAAACATATTGACGGTAATATTAACATGAGACGCTGCAGCCTGAGAGGATTCATCACTTTCATTCATCATGCTCCTGACGTGTTCCTGACGTGTCCTGTATGTGAGGACAAATGTCAGAGTCAGTGTCTGTGGACATTCTCTGGATCTTCTCCTGCAGCCTCTAGTAAAACATCTGTAAAACATCAGAGTGAGTCCATGAGAGAAAACATCAGGAAAACATCTGGAACCTTCTCAGCGAGTGGACGTGTTGACGAGGTTTCTAACATGTGACGGACGTGAAACTAGAAGAACACAAATCTCTCAGGATGAAGAAGAGGTAATACACAACATACATATATTTACACGTTCTTCATGTGAAGACAAACTCCAGGAAATATCTTCTAACACTCACATTCACAGGAGCCTCTTCTTCCGTCTCGTCTGAGGCTTCAGCTCCTGTCGACACATCATCAAACACAGTTGTTGTCAAACTTGATTTGTGGGTCACATGACAGGAACTAATCAAACAATGCAGTCAGATGACCCCGCCCCTTAGTTATAGCTCTGACTTCACCTGAAGCTGACTAACCTGAAGCTGACTTCACCTGAAGCTGACTAACCTGAAGCTAACTTCACCTGAAGCTGACTNTATTATAAAACTCTGCTCTGATTGGTTTTACTCCATATCGCTCCTGAAGTTCCCCAACAAACAGAGGAAGCGTCTCCAGACAGGACGGGTTCGCTGAGCTGATGTCCAGAACATATATGAGTAAATAATCAAACAGTCAAATAATCTTAAATCAGAATGATCTTTTTTATATGAACGGTCTTTGAGGGGGGAGACAGTTTGTACTGTACCTGCCTGAGGCGTAGACCTCCGCTGTGTCGAACAGGTTCACTCCACTGTCGTACGCCACTGTCATCACTCTCTCCGCCATCTACACACACACACACACACACACACACACACACACACACACACACGCCTCATGCTGGTTATATAACAACATTTTCATGCATTCAGCACAGACACACACTAACTTGTATTTCTATCTTTACTAGGACATTATACATTTTCTCACCCTTAACCCAACACTTACTTTAACACTTATCTTAACACTTCATCCTTTCATTAAAACTTATCTTAACCTGAGTCAAAGCAAAACCACACACACCGTACCTCGTCAGAGATCTGAGAACCAAATGTCACCCATGTTCCTGTGAAGAGAAACAACATCACTGACTGTAGTGTGTGTGTGTGTGTGTGTGTGTGTGTGTGTGTGTGCGTGTGTGTGTGTGTGTGTGCGCACTCACCCAGTCCTAAGCAGGACACTCTTAGTCCAGATTTCCCAAGATTCCTGTCAAACAATCAGATCAATCAGTCGATCAGTGAGTCGATAAAGCAGCGTGAGGTCACTCACTGATGGTGCTTTATTAACAGCAACACAACTTTATTAATACATTTTGTGTTGACAAACTCTTTGTAAACAAATTAACTGTTAAATTGTGTCGGACGAGTGAAACATTGTTTGTTTCAGCCCCTTGAAATGACACGTGTGGACCACCAGGGGTCAGCAAATACAAGAAGCACAGTTTAAAGAGCTAAAATGCTCCTGTTGGTTTTTAACGTAACCGACGACGAGTAGAACAGACTCTGAATCAACCGGCCAATAAAAACGACACACAGCTCGTCACATGATCCATGATTTTTATTTCACACACAACATTTGGTTTCACCTCAGTGAGAACCATAATGAAGCAGCTGTTTGTTAGCATCTCAGTCAGAGACTCCAGCTGAGCATGATGGGAGTTGTGGGCTTCAGTCAGGATGAAGTCTGACCAATCAGATGACAGATGAACTAATCATATGTCAACCAATCACATGTCAGTAGTGAGGGATTAGAGCTGAGTCTAATGAAACCTCTGCTTTTAATTAACAACCCCACAGATGGTGCAGGATATACGTTAGGAATAAGTACAGTGTGGTGGGAGTATGATTTCATTTAGAGTAGAGGACAGTGTGTGTGTGTGTGTGTGTGTGTGTGTGTGTGTGTGTGTGTAACAGGATGAAAACAACACATCAGACAGTTTGACAGCAGCTAAAAATACCATCAGCTGTTTTTCAGACAAAAACACAGCGTGTCTCCTCACAGAGGTCGTTAGTTGTCACAGAAACACAGCGTCAAGGTCACGTGGTGGGGAGGGGGGGGGGGGTCTGCCTCACCCTGTGAAACAACAACTAAACTAAAACCAAAGATTAGCTCAACCAAACCAAACCAAACTAAGTTAAACCGTGAGCATCCATCAGCATCAAATGACAAATGTTCACCGTGAATCTACATTTAACCTTCTTAGTTTCACATTGTACTTGAGGGACTAAAGCATTTTGTCTCACAAACGTACGTCCTGTCGTCATCACCTACGTGGGCGTCGTCTACCTATACTTATACTCTGACCGGTTTGTGGACGGCGTCTGACGCGGGTGTGTCGTCAATGCAAAACATCAGAACCATCCTCTTCTGGTCTGGATGAGTCTAAAACAAGTCAGTGTCTTCAAGTTCAATCCTCTTTGATGATAATCTAGTCTGGTTCATCAATATTCAGATCAGAGTCCAAGTTACTGAGTTCATACTGATCTTCCTCAGACTAAGATTTGTGTTGAGGTGTGAATCCAAACCTCAGTGAGGATCAAGAGTCTGAAACCAGGTCGTTAACAACACTGAGCTCCACCGATCAATAATCAATATCTGACCTGAGTCATCATTCACCAACACACACACACACACACCTCTCACCTGTACTTCATGTTGCTATGACGACCAAGGGCCTCCTTCATGTGGGCGTGGCCTAGCAGGGTGTGTCTGCCTGATGACTCTGACCTGACCTTTGACTGACAGATGGGGGCGCTGCTGGTGTTGGCTGCCGCTGCCCTCCGCTCCTTCAGGGGGTGCTCGCTCACGCCGCCGCCCCCACCCCCACCCACGTTACATGCAATGGACACCTGCATCCTGGTCACTATGGCAACAACCTTTAGCCTCTTTTTATTCAACGGGGTCTAAAGTCTCAAAACATCTAGTGGAAATCGCTGCTGCCACCAAGGTCGCCAGTCACTATGGTAACGATGATGAGAATTCATGAGTAGGATGTTCAAATCAATCAGCCAATCAGATCATAGCACAGGACTCCAACACACACAACTTTGTGTCCGGGAAGAAAGCGTCCAATCATCTGTCCCCCAGCTGGATGCTCTGAGGAGAAGGTGATGAAGAGTGTCCGTCCGTCTGTCGGCCAGAGAGAGGACGGGACAAACGAGCTGGAGGAAGAGTAGCAGAGAGAGAGGAGTGAAGGAAGAAGTGAAAGTGAGTGTCCGTCCTCTGGGGAGGGAGACAGAGAGAGAGAGAGAGAGAGGGAGAGAGAGAGAGAGAGAGACCCTCCCCTCCACTCAGAGCTGGTTGGCTGCACACTGGGCGACCAAGCATTTGTCAGACACAGAGAGAGAGGCGGCAGTGACAGTGATTAGATGAACATGTCACAGTGATGAGGTCATGTGACCGTCCTCCTAAACCAGACTTTTGAGCCTGTAAGACCCCAACGAGGGCCACATTACTCCAGCGGCCCCAGAGGCCAGATGTGGATCCATCCACACACACTGAAAATAGTCCCTCGTCCAACCTCGGGCTGAAAAATGAAATGATCTGAATTCATGAAGTGATTTTTTAGTTGATGTCAGTCAGAGCTCTTTCACGTTCACACGTTCACACAGTGCATCTACAGGCAGCTCTCGGCGAGGGGGGGCGATTAGGGGTTCAGCATCAAGGACACTTAGGCATGTGGAAGACCGGGTTTGAACCACCGACCCTCTGGTTAGAGGACAACCGCTCTGACCCCTGAGCCACAGCCAACCCTGTTGCAGTGACATTTTCCAATTCTCCGAGCTCCAGTTTCATCATGAACCCAGGGAGGCGTGGTCTATGACACAGGATTTCTGTGATCGCCGTCAGCAGCTTGTCCCACCGTTACTGCTGCAGCTGACGTTTACACCACGAGAACATTTTAATCCACCGTGTTTTTTAAACATGTGTGTTCTTAGTTTTTGGGTTGAGATGAAGCGAGACACTCAAGCATCAGACAGTTTGGTCGCTCTGCGTCGTGAATCCTGGGACAGGTTGGGTCGGGAAGGATCCATCGTTGGAGCCTTTGTTTCTCAGTGATGGACAAACTATTGTGCTGTGTTGTTGACGCATTTGAAGGAGCCTCTAAAGATGAACAGTGTGTGTCTCAGTTCAGGGACCACATCCTCCGGAGGCTGCATTTGATGACTCATTGTGTAACAGTGGTGCGACTTGTCCCCAGCAAATGTGTCCTTTAATCCCTGAGAATCTGAGTCCCCACCAGCTGGATCCTTCCCGGCCCAACATGTCCCATGATTCCTTAAACTTTTGAGACAAACTGTCTTTCAAAGATGATAATGGCGGCAGCAAGCGAGGCATAAAAGTCTGAAGAATCATTTTTAAATGTTATCAACCGAACAGCTAACGTTAAACATGTTAATAACGCATCAGCGTTTTCAATCAGCTGAAGAGGAACTTCGTCTGTAGCTCAGTTGCTCAGCGACGGCTTTAACAACAGTTTTATTCGTACAGTGTCCGATCATAACACACATGACCTCAGGGCTCGAGACGTGACACATTCTAAACACGGCAGTTCACACAACGAGCAGCAACTACCCAGTGATCCTGTCTCTAGCGCCACCTCCAGGACAAAGTGTCGACGGGTCAAACTCTGAATGTTGTGTGGAATGTTCCTACAGATCATCTGAGTTTCAGACCCTCCCCCACTCCTCGTCCTCTACTTCTCTCCATCACACACACGCCTCCTGCTCTGCTGTGTGTGTGTGTGTTGAAGATGTGGACACACACTCACAGTGAGATGCCTCAGGCTGAAGGTATGGTGTCACTAATGTGCATTAGAACAGTCGCTGCACTCGGAGACTCGTCTCAAATCCTTTGTTCCGTTTTAAAGTGGAACACAGAAGATTCTCTGTGGTTCAGAAGAGATCTCAGCTGCCGTCTCCTCTCCTCCTCCTCTGCTCCCTCTCTCTTGTTCTTCTCTTTCTCCTCCTCTGCTCCCTCTCTCCTCTCCTCCTCCTCTGCTCCCTCTCTCT